TATACGATGATATATGATCCTCTCCGCGTGTTGGGTTAGTTGGTACTTGTGTTGCAGTAAGACCGTTATGCTGGAATAGTCGGTGTGGTACGTCCATAGACTTCATTCAGCAACACCTTCCGTCGTGCATAGTATCACATAATAACAAAGACCGATATAATGTCAAAAGACAAAACACTCACTGCTACTCAGCTAGATGTATTCCTCATCATCCCACACGGTACACCTGGACTTCTCAATCCCATTATCAACATATCCGCCAACAGTGTATGATTCACCAACCATCCTCTCACTGTTGTGGATCGTATGATTGTACTGAGCGACTACTCAAGCGAGCGATATTTACATTCCTAAATCAGTACGTATGAGAAACCCTTCAAGCTACCATCCCTGTTGTAAACCTGTCCTGTCCATGACGTGGCACCGATCTTCCAATATGTAGTGTATCGTCTTCGTACTGGTATAACTTAGTTTCGCGCATATACCCCTTCGTAGAAATGTGCAGATCCAACAGATCGCTATTGTTTGCATTGTGGTGTGCCATAAACTGTAGCACGTGTATTGATACACTGCCCATTGCTGTTGAACCGCCGGCCTGTAGCCCTTCCACTAAGATGTGCCGGGGATCAGGACCAATACTATCTTTGTCTTATTTTGTATAGACAAAAGGAATATCTCAAGCAGTTTGCGCAAATGTTGATCGATAACAACATTCGAGTCTGACTGGGACTCTGGTACACTTTCCTGTGCTGTTTATCAGTCGGACCCCAATTGTTTCGTCTTAACTGGTTATGATTACATTCTTTTAGAGGGTCCCTCTTTGAGTGTGTCCTGTACTCCAATCATACGATCAGTTTTGGCCTTCAGGTTGTACCGATTACCTAGTGCGTTTACTTGATGTTTCTGTCTTAGCACCCTTTTCTGATGTATTCCTTCCGCGTACCTTCATCTTCCTATCTTTGCTACTCTCTCCGTTAGGCTCTCCCTCGCTAACACCTCTAGGGTCTTTCAGTACTGTCATTAGCGACTCTATATCTTGGGTCTCTACATGAGTAGGTAAGCTATACCGCTTGTAAGTCCCCTCGATAAACCGTTTGAGTTGAGTTGTAAACCTGTATTCAACACCTCTCTTTTCGTGACATCACCCTCACCCCCTGTAATAGCCTGAATCTGTTATCTTGAGGAGCTATGAGTACGACCTCCTCAAAGTTGGATGTGTCACCACAAGCCTGGTTACCCATAGACAAAACAACAACGTTCAGTTTACCACCTCAGCTATCTCAAGGATATCATCCAGTATCCAATTAATTGGTGCGGATGTAGCGTATGACTCATCATTGGTGGAATAGTCGTATAGACAAATGTTGCGGTCTAAGGTTAAACAAAGACAATAAGGTATGTCACCACGCGGTCTTTATTGTAGTGCGATGTGGCGAAGGCGTGGTATGACACAATTTTTGTCTCCGGATTAGGTCGTCAAATGTTAGCAGATGCCATACCGGTGACAGAGGTTCTGGACGTCACATCCACAATCGAGTCATGAATGTCACACATCCCCCCAGTCAGGCTATGATCAGATGGGGTGCCGAGTTCGGCTTGGGCCGCCTCTGGAAGAGGAGAGGCGAGATGAGTTGTTGAACATTTGCATTGATAGACCTGCTGATACTCCAGACGAGGGAGGAGGAGGACAGGAAGGTAACTGCCTGCCTTCCAGAAATTGTGCTCAAAACTGTACATCCGATGTATGTTAACACAGATACAAATTAAGGGTTAATACAGGTCGTAGACATCCCTTTTTCGAGACATTCAGGAAGGCAGTAATCTACCTCGATCTTGGCTACGATGTTTATGCTCAGACTGACATCTTTCGAGTAATCCAACTACAGCTACATGGATATATGCATGGCAGTAGCTGTCGTTATGCTGCCAAGGTTAGACGAGAGCGACTTCGTCTAGTCTGATGGTACTCCACTAGATTCTCTATTACCTATCACACGTTAGAGCTAGGGCATACGCGGAAGAGCACGACCATCCAGCTTCATGTCCTGGTATCCATAGCTATCTGCAACCCATTAGCCCATTAGCTCATGCACTGGGACAGACAATGTCATCCTCCTCATCGCACCCGCTGCATAGACCTGTGTACTACGTAAAACTCCGCATCATCAGGGTATATCCCCTCGTGTAGAGTGGCATCAAACCCACCGGGTGCGAGTTATGCGTAGATTCGTTTTGCCGGGTAGAGTGATGTGACCGATCGGCATGTAAACGATACTCTGTTGGGTTGAACCAATTGATGATAATGAGTGTTGTGGATCGGTGCTGGAGTCAGCTCCAGATCATGGGTTCTCATATCATGCTATCGACTGTAACCATGCTCACAACGATTTCTTCGGTGATCGATGTATTAAGTTCCTCCAGGTAATATATGCAATAAACACATACAAGTAGTTTATGGGCTACTTGTAATGGTTTAATATCGCCGTTCAGTAGCTGTTCTGGTGTGTTCGGATTTGCATTGCAGTTGTAGAGTGAAGCGCCCGACGGTCACTACTAACTCAACACCCCTGCTTTTACTATACAAATAGTATTGCTATCCGAGATGATACTACTTACCCGACCAACACGATTCATTAGTCCCGTTTACTCCTCCTCCTCCTCCTTTTTAACATACTATCCTTGGCATACTGATAGACCTCATCATCATTCAATATGCCAGCTTCTACCAACTTATTCAAGCGGACCTTATCCTTATAGTCACCATCAAGTAGAGGAATACCAATCTTCTCACCCATCAATCCACGTACTCTCTCAGCGAACTCACGAGGGCTCTCTCCATCTCTACAAGCTACTGGTGCCATAACGTGTACACGCATTGTA